ATTCTGAATGCCACTTATGACATTAAGTTAATAAGTATTGTTTGTAACTAATTAAATTTAGGTCCAGATTCTGTGTTTTGTTACTGGTGGCAGTTTGGTTTGATTTGGTTTGATTTCGGTTTTGTTTAAATTTTTTTGTTTGTTAGGTTCAATTTTTTTGCCCAGGCTGACTTAGTCTCCAGAGAATTACATGTATATGTCACGATATCTCCTCTCTAGGGAACTTCTTAATTATATCTACAGCATGGCACCATCAACTCAATAAATACTAATCTTGTCATTTACATTCAGTAACTTTCACATTCTTAACAAGCATTTTGGAGAGGGAGTATGGGAAAGGAATTATCCAGGTTGTATATTATTACTGATATGACATGTAACATTGAGGACTTTTCCTACAGGACAGTTGGATCAGGGGAATTTGGGGATCTGTTTTCTGACTGAGTAAGAGTTCAGTTATTGAGTTGTGGAGCTAACACTAGAGAACAAAATTTTAAAAGTATAATCTGCTATAGACATTTCTAGCGTAACAGGTATTCCAGGTATCTGTTAATAAACAAATTTATGAACTCAGAACCTGACTACACTTCAGGTTTAGTCAGAAAGGTTAACTTGATTCAAATCCAAGGAAACTTAACATCTATAATAACAAAAATCTTATTATTTCTTTGCTGCATGAAAAATAAGAAATTTTGAACAAATAATTTTGAAAACTATTGGTTAGCCCAACCAAAAGTTAAAATAGACATGCTTTTTGATATATCTGTAATAAGGTCCCCATATTGACAGAGCTGTTTTAGCATAATGCAAAAATTAAGTCCTCTCTCTCTCTCTCTCAACATTTTTTAGACCTAAAGATTTAAAGATAATAATACCTGCTTTCCTCACAGTAGTGATGGAAGATCAAATTAAGTTAGCTTATTTGATCTTCTATCACTACTGTGATTCTGTAAATTACAAAGTACAATATAAAAGCAAGGTATTTATTATTGGCAAGGAGGTGGATAAACTAGGTCAGTTTAGGTCATGGGTTATGGTGCTTCAAAGCAAGATGCCCATGAAGCCTTAGGTCAAGCACAAGAAGAAATAGCTTTAAAAGTAATTTGGGCCTTACATTTAATAGTAGGATGATTGAGTTGTGCAATATTAGTAGATCTGGTCTAGTAAGCTATGATTAGCTGGATCAATAAAATAAAACATATTGGGAGGCTAATTTGCATCTGTCTGCCAGAAAGCATCAACAATTTTACTGTCAACTGAGAGTTTTATATAAAACTGATTTTTACCACTAGGAATCTAGTGGTAAAAGAATAAAGAATAGTTGGCAGTGGCACTGTGGCTCAAGTGGTAGAGCGCTTGCCTTGAGCTGAAGAGCGCAGGGACAGCGCCCAAGCCCAGAGTTCAAGCCACATGACCGACCAAAAAAAAAAAAAAAAGAATAAAGAATAGTTGTTCTAACTAGAGATACTTGGTAACCTCAAACTAACACCTATGAATGGGCAAAGGAAATCTCTCAGTACATAGTCCTTATATTCTCATAATTGAAAAACAATGAGAGGCTAGGGTATGGCTCAGTGGGAGAGCACTTGCCTAACATGCTTAAAGCTCTGAGTTCATCCACAGCACTTTGGATGTTATAAAGAAATATTGACAGCTTCATAACAGCCAACATACTTCTTTAGATTGTGCTGTGAAATCATTGGAGAATCAACAAGTCTGATTTCAGACTTGAAGTTGGAGGGTTCTCTTCTTCAGTCTATATTTTATCAATAATCCCTATAATGATTTCATCTTGGTAACCTAGCCCGGAGTTTAAGTAACTGCACTGTCCCTTGTTTTAGTCAACAAAGAAACCATTTGGTAGTATACTGCTATTCTCTCCTTGCTGGTTCAGAAAGTTTTTGATTCTGTATCAAATATCTTTCCTGAGGGAAGAAAAGAGATCATCCATAATACTCCTACTAAACTCTTTTCTCTCTTTTTTTTGATGAGTGTGTGTGGGTGTGTGTTTGTGATATTTGATCTCAGGGCCTTGCACTTGTCAGGAGCTCTACTGTTTAAGCCAGATCCTTTTCAAAGTTTTCCATGCACCAGGACAAGCTTTAAATAAAAGTAAGGTAATTGATTATGTTTTTCTTAAAGAATCTCTTGTGATTTTTGTAATCACATAGCTTTTAAGTTCTTCAAGTATTGGTCTTATTTTCTGTCACTAGCTTATGAACAAAATAAAACCCTGAAAGTCACTGAGTAAAACTTCTATTATAACTCTACTTGTAGTTAGGATTTGAAATACACCAGTGAAGAAAAAGTGGTTAATTTTTCCAGTGTTTAAGTATTTTATTAGTCTTTTTTTTATCAAATCTAGACATAAACCTGGACAAGTGACACACTTCTGTAGTCTCTGAAGAGGCTGAGGCAGAAGGATTGTCTGAGCCCAACAATTTGAGGCCAGTCTGGACAACACAGCACAGCACAGTGAGCTCCTATCTAAAAAAATACCCTAAACTCTAGGTATAATTTATATACAACAAAATTTCTTTATGTATTCAATTGGAGGAGTTTGACAACTGAACTTATGTTTATAAAACAATTTTACAGAATATGACCTTTCTATCACTCTAGAACATTAGTTGATAATATTTTCTAGTCTCTCACAATCTTTGCCAGAGATTATCATTATTATTTGTATTAGATTCATAATAGATTTTTCTATTCAAATAGGAAATTTGAAATCATTCTGTAAATGATTTACCCACAATTCACTTACATTGTTATAGTCATTCCATTTCATTATTTATAAAAGTTTATATAAAACTGTGTTCTCTGGGGCTGGGAAGGTGGCTCAGTGGTAGAGTGCTTGCCTTGCATGCATGAGGCCCTGGGTTTGATTACTCAGCACCACATAAGCAGAAAAAGCCAGAAGTGGCACTGTGTCTCAAGTGGTAGAGCGTTAGCCTTGAGCTGAAGAGCTGTGGGACAACACCCAGGACCAGAGTTCAGGCCCCACAACCCGCCCCCCCCACCCCCAAAAAAGTATTGTCTTATTGATGGAGAAAATATTAAGTACACCTACAAATTAATTAATAATAAAAAGACACATGGACAAATTATTACTGTGAATAAAGTTATGAAATTTGTTTGTGTTTTTAGCATGCATTTGTATTTCTCCTTAGGTCACAAGGTGCATACCTTTATACATTCTACAAAGTCATAACATTGTCTGCTTCCATCAGGAACACATAGGATTCTACTTATCTGTGCCCTTGTCAACATTTGGTGTTGTTGAATTTGTGATCTTCATTATTTTAGTGTGAAGTGGTATTACATTGGAGTTTTCATTTTCATTTACCTGATACCTATTGATATTGAGGATGTTTTGGTATATTCATGAAGCAACTCTATTTCCTCTTGGGAAGACATAAAGTTATTTGTTAATTTACGAGATATCTTTTTTTTTTTTTTTTTTTGTCGGTTGTGGGGGCTGAACTCTGGGCCTGGGCGCTGTTCCTCAGCTCTTCAGCTCAAGGCTAGCGCCCTACCACTTGAGCTACAGCACCACGGGCTTTTTTCTATCTATGGTGGTGCTGAGAAATTGAACCCAGGGCCTCATGCATGCGAGGCAAGCACTCTAGCACTGAGCCAACTTCTCAGTCCATGAGATATCTAATGATTTTTTTTGTAGTTACTTTTGTATTTTTTGTCTTCATGACCTTTATCATATATACACTTTGGTAATAAATTTTCCTGCATGTGGTTTGCCCTTTCATTTTCTCACTAGTATCTTTTTTTTTTGGTTGGTAGTGGGGCTTGAACTCTGGTCCTGAGCGCTGTCCCTAGCTCTTTAGCTCCAGGCTAGCATTCTACCACTTGAGCTACAGCGCCACTTCCAGTTTTCTGGTGGTTTATTGGAGATAAGAGTTTCTCGGACTTTCCTGCCCGGGCTGGCTTTGAACCGCCATCCTCAGATCTCAGCCGCTTGAGTAGTTAGGATTATAGGTGTGAGCCACCGGCGCCCGGCCTAACTAGTATCTTTAGATGAGCATAACTTTTTAAAAATGTGATGAAGTACAAACTCTCACAGAAATGAACTAGATATTTCTCTAGTCTCCATTTCTAGTCACAGAGTATATTAGTTAATTGTATTGTTTGGATAGGATCCAGGTTGGTAAATTAAAAAGGAAAGGCACAGATGGCTGCTTATTCTTTGTTGTTGTTGGTGGTGGTGGTTGTGGGGCTTGAACTCTGAGCCTGGGCACTGTCCCTCAGTTCTTCAGCTCAAGGCAAGTGCTCTACCACTTGAGCCACAGTGCTACTTCCAGTTTTCTAGTGGTTTATTGGAGGTAAGAGTCTCATGGGCTTTCCTTCCCGGGTTGACTTTGAACTACAATCCTTAGATCTCAGTCTCCTGAGTAGCTAGGATTATAGGTGTGAGCCACTAGGCCTGGCTACTTATTCATTTTTTAAAATCCTTCTGGGCTAGATAAGTTTTGTTGCCATTATCTGACCCAAGTCATCTGTCACTAAATGTTCTATTAGCCAATGTGCCTTTGTCCTACTTGTCTAGCTTTATAAGCAACAGAGCCTTTATATTGCTAGACGCAGGATGCCATAAGGCCTTTCATGACTATATATTCTTCCATTAATGGTCAGGAGTTTTTATTATATTGAAAAAAAAAGGAAACTATACCACCTCAGTGTTGCTGACTCAGAAGAACCCCTTCTCAAAAAGACCCAGATAGGATTTGTAAAAGTAGGGGAAGGGAGGAAGGTTTGCTACCACACAGCTTTAACAGATAAAAGCTCAGTCAAAATAACTTATCCAAACCGATTTGCAACTGTCCTTGCTAACCTGTAACCTATTGGGGCTCTAAAAACAAAGCCAGGTAGACACTCAATATTTGTTGAATGAATGAAATAGACCTATAGATCCATGAGAAAATAAAGAAATGGTGGGAGAAAAAGGAAAAAAAAACAATCCAGTGTGACATGGGGTTCCTTACTGTTCCCTGCAAGCTCGCGTGGCCAGGGCCCAGGTGCTCTTCTGTCCCGTGATCAAGGTATGGCAGTAGCCTGAGTGAAGGTGCCATCCAGCTGGGCAGGATTTGTCTTCCACCTCCTGGAAAAAAGAGTTCTGCATCTTGAGAAATGCAGTGGCTTTATACAGCAAATACAACCACAGTCAGACATGTTCCAATGTTAAACCTTTGATAAGTGGTAAACAAAATAAGTCAACATCTTTTTTAAATGGAATAGATAAAATAATATCTTGTGATTTTGAAAACACTTTGGATTATGTTTTGCTCTTGGCATTCTGGGTGAGAGAAGGATACGCAGACAGTGTAAGTTGATAGTCACACACCAGATCACTGCACTCTATCAGCTCAGCAGTGCTCAGCTGCTTAGCCTGGGTCCCTACCTTGGTTTGGGGGCTCCAGATTTTCCAGGCAATTCCATTGCATTGATACAGTTTCTGGTTACTTTCTTCAAAATGGAGGAGTCCCTTTATCTCCACCATGCAATTCTTTGGGAATGATGGCAACTGGTTCTACAGGGAGAAAAGGCAATTTAAAATCGATTTAACGTAAGTTGATAACATAACTTATCTCTTCTAAGTCTACACTTGTTGGAAAACATCTGGGTTGAGTAATCTACCCCCAAGCTTGGAGGCTATTTTGTGAATTAAGAGTGTTTATGGCCCAGTCAACAGATTGTTACGAGGTAAATAGGAAAGACAAAAGATTGTCCTACCTGTCTGGGGAAGTGTGAGGCACTTGTGGATTCTGTCTCTGCCAGAGGCAGCTCTGCTGCTTTGACTCTCCTGTGTGGCTGACTCAGGATGGATACTGTAGCCTTCCTTTTGTGAGTGGGAAAACTGTCATCTTCCAGTCTCAAAGAAACCACCCCATGGTACTTGAGGACACCAACAAACACAACAATAAGGGAGGAGGGGGGGGGAAACAAGCATCAATGTACGCTTTAAAAATTATATCAATACAAAAAGATGAAAGGGCTTTTTCTGACCCCCAAATTCTCACATTTCAAAAGAAATTTTTCAGGTACGTAATTTCAAAAGATATAATAGTCTTGCTAAGTATTTTTTAACCATAAGTATAAGAAATTTAGCAATTCTCTGACTCATACTTACATTATAGATGATGTCTGTTCCATTTTTATAAACAGAGGATGGTAAAACCTAAAATCAAGAGAGACAACATATGAGATATATGGGCTGAATAATAACTAGCAATAGAATAAAATACTTCCAGTAAGAACTTATTCATATTTGAAAATTAGCAAAACCATTTCTTTTATTTTTTGTCAGTTGTGGGGCTTGAACTGTAGGCCTGGGTGCCATCCCTCAGCTCTTCAGTTCAAGGCTAGCACTCTACTCTTTGAGCCACAGTGCCTCTTTTGGTTTTCTGAGTGGTTTAGGGCTGGCTTTGAACCGCAATCCTCAGATCTCAGCCTCCTGAGTAGCTAGGATTAAAGGTGTGAGCCACCAGTGCTCCCCTTCAAAAACATTTCCTGAGATATTTCATGCCCAAATCATTGGAATTTTTTAAAACACAAGTTATGATTGTAGTGTGTATTTGGGGATATGAAATCCCAATTAAAGAGAAAAGATACCTTTGTAATTATTTGTTGTTGTTGTTGTTATTTAGCACAGCTATAGTATACAAAGGCTCAAGAACACACTCACATACATACTTGAAAAGTGCCTGTTAGAATGCCGTACTTAGTAAGTCAAAGTGTTGGCTCCCACACTCCAGTGGGGCATTTAATTTCTTGCTGTTCTAGGGTCACTGATTATTCCCTATCTGTCTGGATACAAAAGAACCAAAATAGAAATCATATGGATGAATCAATATATCTATCACCTCCTTTAGAATAATGAATGCAGCAGGGTAGCATTGTGATCTTTGAATACAAAAGCCATTGCATGATCCTGCAATGAAGCATGAGAATCCACCATTCCTTTGGTGTCTCGGAGTCCTTATTAATATGCATTCACTCCCATTCCCCAAAGGTTCCCATCACCCTTACTGCCTTGCCATTCCCATGGGTCCTGAGCTTCCTCTGAGAAAGAACTGCAGCATCAAAGCTCCGCAGGGTGCTCCCCTTGGTGACCACTAGCTGCTTAGAAGATGAAGGGTATCTTCTTTCCAGATGAGGGAAACCACCAGGAATGGATGAGGAGGAGCCAGAGGGCAAAAAGGGCCAAACACCCTTTTCCCATGCCTTGTGCTGGCTGTGGTTAGAGGAATAGGAAGTCAGGCACTGTCCTGGAGGCAAGCAAGGAGGCAGGCAGTCAGTACATTTCACACTAACACATCAGGAATCACAGGGACTCTGTCCTGGAGAAGCTTGTCAGAAAACTTAGATGAATGAACTTCCCACCAGATGTTGCCTTTGTGCCATTTGCCAGAAACTCCTTTAACTCTTCATGGGTTTTCTTCCAGAAGACTGATGCCATTCCTGACATTCAAAGGGTGATGGATTATAAAGTCATGAAATTGATTTGACAAACCATAAATGCAAATCATTGTCATGATTTTATAATCATGCATGCACTTGGACAACAGCCTCGCATCCCTTCCTACTCCAATCCTGTTGGGACTACCACATTCATCCACTGACTGACCACAAGTGCTTCGCCAGCGTTCCCTTTCTCCTGATCTTCTCTAGGTAGAAACTGGAATCATTTAAAGATGTCATAGAATCAAGTAACAGTTATAAAAATTTGCAGTCAACTGTTGCAGAACAAAAATACAATAAATCTTAACAGAGCTGCTTCAACTGGAAACATTACCAATTTCTGGGAAAGCATAAATAAAAAAGACAAAAACCTAACGTGAGAACCTTTGTCTGGGTCTTTTCTTTCTTTTTTTTTCTTTCTTTTTTTTTTTTTGTAATGTTGTGGATCTAACTTAGGGCCTTACACTGGCAAGCCAAATAGGCAAGGGCTCTACTGTTGAGCTATATCTCCAGCACCTGATATTTTACATTTCATATAGAGTTCATATTTCATATAGTTTGCATCCTTAATGTAACCAGAAAATTCGACTGTACTGGAATATAAATAAATGTGATGAGGAAAAAGGCAGAAAGGAAAGATGTAAACTAATAAAAAGAGATTATAAGAGAAACAGAATGGTTTCCATTTTTATTATAGGGTAAGAAAGAAAAGAGACAATAGAGTCCAAGTAAAGAAAAATATGGATCACAGGGGACAACCAGAATAAACACAAGGACACAAGATGGACACTGCACTAGACATATCAAGGGCTAACTAAACAAGGAACTAGAAGGAAATTGGCAGAGAATAAAAATCAGAGCATCAGAGGACTTTAGTTCTTATCCAACAACTTTTCACAGGTTGTTCTTTAGCATATACTACCCCAGGATCTGTTCGGCTCTGCAACCAAAATCATTCATTAATATTTTCCAGCTGCTCCTAAATCCCTGTGGGCAAGCTGCATCTTTACATCTATATCTATATTTTTTTTCTTTCAATTCCTTCCCTTAGAATTTTCCTGGTCACACTACAGTGGGAGCTCAGTTTTAGGCATTGAGAGCTTTCTTTCACAGAGGAAGATAATTACAGCCCTGCAAACTCTGGGGAAAATAATTGTCGATAGATTCTCACCAACATTGTTTCCCCCTTGGTGAGAACAACAAACGGTTAGGAGAAAAACAACTACGGCACTGACTTGTTGCTTTTCTCCAGTGATAGTTCCTAGCAGGAGGAAAAACCACATGAAGCAGAAAGTAGAATAAAGGGCCTACATCATGGTGGAGGTTGCTTTCTTGACAAGAAATTAAGCATTTTGATTTGAAGGTGTTATCAAGCATGTTAGCTGTTGAAAGCCAGCAGCCATGGCGCCAGGACTGCTCCTGATTTCAAGATGAGGATCAAAAGAATACCTCCTTTTGAGTCCAAAATTTTCACTGCAGCTTTTGTCTTCGTGCCAAGAACTGCATTCACAGGGGAGTTCAGAATTACTTCAAAGACCTCATCATCTTCCTCTAATCCGTCATAGGTAATTGCTATATTCCACATCTTAGTTGACATTCCTACAAGAAGTAAACATTTTAATTACTCTTTAATTGCTATTTCAATCACCTAGGTGTCAGAGAAATATATTAATTAACATGTCTACAGCTAGACTGCAGTAGCCTGAGTGAGCTATTGTACTGCCACCAACTCACTGAAGCCCCGCTGTTCTCCCCAATAATATGAAAAGACCACATTGGTTCCTGGACAATGATGATTCCATTTCAATGCAAAAACTGTAACCAAAAAAAAAAAAAAAAAAAAGCAAGCTGCTTTATACAAGGGATGAAAACCAATGCTTACCAGATGAGATCCGAAACATAAATTTTTTTTTGCCCCAACCTGCCCCTTCTTGTGTTAAGAATAAACAGCTACTACAACCTGAAAATCTGAAGACTTAAAAATTCTTAAATGGTTCCTGCAGACAAACATGATTATTGGATGGTACTTGATGCTATTTAGGGAACTCTTGAAATGATTGATTTCTAAAGACAGCTGTCTGCATCATTGCCCTGCTTCCTGAGATCCTTCTAGGCTTCAATGTTTTTTCTGATCATATACCACTCTGCAGTTAGACATCCTTCTAGAGAGAATTTATGGACTGGGGACCAGGGGTTGCTTCTAGAAATGGCCTTGCCCATCTCCCCTGAGATAGTATCGCCTACTTTCTGTCTGCCTCTATTCATGAGTTATAATGAAGTTTGGCTCATAGTAACTTTCTGAACATGACACAAGGTAGTTCTGATTTTAAACAACCAATTTCCAGCCATGCTGTCGCCACCAGGATTGGAGGCAAAGCAACCTGAGAAACACAAAACTGGAAGCAACTTCTGAAATGGTCTAAGCCAGTTTCCACGATGTGCATTTCAGGCCATCTTCTTGAGTTTATTTAGCAGAGAAAGTGGAGGCAGGAAGTAGAGGATGTTGTTTAGTGGTGAAAGAAGGCTCAAGTTTAAGAGGGGGAAAGAGATGTTAAATTTACAGCTTAACTTTGTAGGGATAAGTTTGTAAAGCTTTCCTGCCATTTACTTATTGGCGATTTAAGTGCTTTTACGCTCATAAATCTGCCTCTATAAACTTTTTTTCCCCTTCCCTTCTGAAAATATGACTCTTACTTGCTGATTACCTTCTGCAGATTTATACCTCTCAAATGTGCCATCTACACAAGAGCTGCCTTCTTGAAGGCGAGTATTAGAAGTATAACAGAAGCCATACTCTGACCTAAAGGAGTTTACAAGTTCTTAGAGGAGATAGAGATAGAGATATCCTATGTGTATCTTCCTATCATTTCTCATAATTACCTAGTACAGTGTAAATTTTGTCTTACTATAGGAAATAATGACAAGAAACTTTGAAGCCAAGACATGTTTAATACAGAAACAGCATTTTGTTTCTTTTTCAATTATTTTCATATGTGCTTTGCTGAATCGGTGACACAGAACCTCTGGATACAGAGGAACAACTGTACCAAAAATACTCACTTACCATTCAAAGCTATGTGTCAATAGCATAGATGACATACAGTATATGTGTGTGGGATCCAGAGTTTCAGAAGGAGGAAGTAAAAAGACATGACAAGTAAATGAAGGAACTTAGAAAGGTAGGGCTTGGATAGAAAAGTGTGCGTACATTAGCTGGTTGAAGTTGAAAGGTCACATCTATAGACAAAAGGCCATAAAGCTGCAGAGATATTCTGTAGCTAGACTACAGAGATCTTTGGGTACTAGTCACCATAGTCAGATTTAAACCATGGGTGAGGGAAGGCTTTCAAACTGGAAGTAATGTTCTGAAAGCAGATGCTTCCACAAAATGAACTGTGCATAGGTCTGAGCATCCAGGCAGAGAGGCAGAGATGCCAGACATTGAGAGACGTTAGAGGCAGCAGTTGCTATAAAACTGGTTTGAAAAGATAAAAGGTTGCCAGTGAAGAAAGTATATAAATACTAAAACTGTCAATATTCACAGAGCTGTTTTGATCCTTAAACGCCATGAAGTTAAGCATTATTTAAATAAAAATCCAATAGACTCAAATATATTTTCAAGCCTCAACCATTGCCTCTTATTTTAAGAATCATTTTATAAAATATAGTATCTTCTCTCTTGGTGGGGGGGGGGGACGGGGAAGGGAGAGAGAGAGCGCCCTAGATCTTTGTGATGGCCTTATTGAGGAAAACCAGATGGTTAGGCCAAATCTATTCTGTGTTTCACTTATGTGTTTCAGATTTGTTTGTCTGCATTTCAACTTTGTTCCTATACCTACTAGATGTGTGCATAACCCTCTTTCTAGGTTAATGAGATTGAAAGTCAGAACTTCACTGCTGTTGTTTTTCCCCCTTTTCCTCTTTCACTTTCAAGGTGCAAAGTACTTGTTAAGTCCCTGGGATATACCTGCATTTTTCAGGAGGCTTCAATTTGCCCCTCTCCCTGTTTCTACAAAGTCAGAGAGATACTGTGTTGACCTACAGACTATGTTTACACACACTGTAGGTGAATTCCTTACATATTTTCCCTGCAAAGCAGATTTCTCTATTGAAAAATATTTTTCAGTATTGTTTAAGTAAATGTCACATTAGAGATCTGTTCCTTTGGAATACATTTGACTCTTAGGAATGATAACGTTTCAATTAAGATTACAGAATACCTTTCAAGAACATCTATTTTTAAAAAGGAATGCAATCATTTAGGAATATTTCCACATCCACTCAAGATTAGTCACCATAGCTCAATGAAGAGAAGTTAGAATCTGTGGTTCCATTTGGTACAATAGTTATAAGGCAGGCCTTCCTATAGATCCCAGAGTTCTCCAACCTCCCAACATCCTATTAGGCCACTCAATCTCTGTTTCTTCAGGATTGTAAAAGCTGCTGTTTTTAGAGAAATAAAAAGATTGCAGTGTGCAAAAGGGATGTGTCTTGGACTGAAGACAATCAGACCCTAAAGAGACAAGGACTGAAAATAAGAACATAAGCATTCACTGTACCCGAGGATGTGGGAAAGTTTAAAATTCCCTAAATAAATTTCCTATTATGAAACTGTTTGATTTTTAAACATTCCAAATCAATAAAAAAAACAAGCATATGGGTGATTTTTTTATTTACAAGGTAAGCTTCTATTGTTTTCTAAATTCCTAAATTATCTCTAAAATCATGATGGTTTCAACTCCCCAGAAGTCATTAGTATCTACTCAAAACAGCAAATAAATTCATGTAGACAGATGAGCATTTATCTTATCCAGTGGAATTCTAAGAGGTAGATCGATCTCACAGTCTCCCCTTAGTGCAATAGCCGCAAGTTCCTAACAGTCCAGAGCACCTGGTGAGCTTCTCAAAACAAAATCACCCCTGATCTTGTACAAACAAACATCAATCATCAGAAGGACACAAAAAAGAGACTTCCAACAGTGGAAAGTTTTCACGTGAAGTTACAAAATGGCAAAGCGTCAGTGTATCAGATCTTTTCATGGTAGTATGGACCAGAAGAACCTACAGACGCCTTGGGGTTATCAAACATGCAATAGGAACAACTCTTTCAACAAAGTGTAGTCAGCTGGACATATCAACCGACCCAGGTTAGAATGTTCACTAGCACACACACACAAATCCAGTAACAATACTGGAGATATCAACAATATTGACATATCAAATTGAAAGTTCATTGTTATATGTTGAGTTGTAGCCCTCAAGAATTTCTAAGTGATCCTAGGTCCTCAGACATGACCTCATTTGGAACCAAGATATTGCAGATGTAATGAATTAATATAAGGTCATCCTAACAATAGTGTTGTCTCCTTAATCCATTATCACTTGTTGTTATACAAAAGGAAAATTTTTCCACAGATACAAATACAGAAAGCATACACACGAACATGAACGTAGACTGGGGATACCTGGCAAAAGCTAAGAATCAGCAATGATTGTCTCAATCCATTGGTACATTGCAGTGGGCTAGCATACATGCTCCTTTACATAAAGCCCCAGAAGGAATAAATGCTGTGATACCTTCACCTTGCAGGACTTGCAGCCTCTAGAACTGTGCAGTGATAAATGCCTGTTTTAAGCCACTCAGGTTGTGACATGTTATTATAGCGGTTCTGGGAAATTAATAGAATCATCCAGTGTCATTCCTCCTTGTGAACCACAGTTTTGTATTAACATTTTCTATTTTGGAGTGGTGATGTTATTTAGGCCCTTTCTTTTGCCTTTGCCCCAAACTGTATGCATTAAGTGGTGAACAAAATTTTCTGAGCATAGGAAAGCACAAAGTTAGACGTTTTGTTGACTTCCCCAGGACTTGTCCATTGCTCTTAAACAGATGGAGGACCCAGCTTTTTTTCCAGCCCACAGAGGAGAAAGGGGGGAGGAGAGAGAGAGAGAGAGTGCATACTGTTCAGAGGTAAGCTGCTTGCCCCCTCATAGAAGCCAGGAAGAGAGGCTGGTGTTCAGTCAGGTTTGAGGCCCATATCCCCAGAGGTTGTATCAGTGCTTTTGTGTCAAACCTGCAGTGTGGCATTCCCATCTCCTTCTGCCTGCTACCATATATACTGCCTTCCTTGGGATGCCTTCCACAATTTACCTTCAGTTAGAACAGTAGCTCACACATCTGGAGTCAAATGAACTACTATGAATGTCTTCAGATCTGTGTCCCATTATCTTTTTTCTTTTCAGTATTGGGATTTCTATGAAAGGCCTCAGGGTTGCTAGGTGATTGGTCTTCCTCTTGAGCCACACCTCCAGCCCATTTTTGAGATAGGACTAGCTTAATTTTCAGGCTGATCTGGATTTTGATCTTCCTATTTGTGCTTCCCTGAGACTCTGGGATAACAGGTAGCACCCAGATGCCTAGCCAATGGTTCAGATGGAATCTCAAAAGCTTTATTTTTGCCAGTGCTGGCCTCAGACTGCGATCCCTCATCTCCATCTTCCAAGAAGCTAGGGTTTCAAGCTTGAGCCATCACTCCTGACTACAATAGAACATTTTAAAAGAACACACCAGGTTTTGCACCCCTTTTTTTCACCTAACAAAACTTTTCCACACATTTAAAATAAAGTTCTACAAAATTGGATAATTCTTTCTCTTGGTATCATATCATATCAACCTGTCATAATAGGGGATGACTTAGAAAGTCTCAGTAATCCAGGTGAGTATAACATTCTGCAAATTTTCATTAGAATTTGAGGTAACTAAGTTTTTATAATATTTTTTTAAATTAACTTATTTTCCTGGATTATATTCAATATTTGCTTTGGTATTTTATATTTAATATTTGTTACAATTTTCCTTCTTATTTTAAGTAAATTTAAAAAATGAAGAATTGAGATTTTTCTGTACAACTGAAGATAGTTAAAAAATAAAAATGAAAATAAATAAAGAGGAAGAAGAACTTCAGGTCCAAACTCATGTAGTTTGGAGTAGAGTGATACAGTTTCCTGAAGCTGTATAGTAGTTTGTCCCTTCCAGTCTCCAGACTTGTTTACAGAAACATAAAACAAACTGCAGTCACAAGACATACCTGGATCAAACTGAATGAGTTTGGATGGAGTCACTGTGAAATCTTTTCCAACTGTCGCTGACACTTGGTTGACCTTAAGTGGGGAGAGAAAAGGTCTCTTTTTTAATAAAAGTAAATATTTTATACCAGAGAAACATTCTCCCTCATACTAAACTCATGCTCATAAATCTGCTTTTAATATGAAGTAGCATTTAAAAATTACAATACACCATTTTAGATCTGGGCTGGATTTTTCTTCAAGTCAACTTTTTGCTTTTCGTTTTGAAATGATTGGGTCACTGGAGAGAGCCATATAAAGTTTACAATCTAATTTTTCTCTTTGTTATGAGCACAACTTTTTAGTTTACTACCTTCCCTCTCCTCCAACTTGGTTTTTGAAACAGTGCCTCAAAGGAGAGGGAGGGAGGGAGAAAGAGAGAGAGAGAGAAAGAGAGAGAGAGAGTGAGTGAGAGAGAGAGAGAGAGGCGCCAGGAGAAGAGAAAACACACACTCCCTGCAAGCCGGATGATGATCTGTCAGCCAGCTTTGATATCATGCAAGCTCCTCCAGGGTACTGACAGCCTTGAGACCAGATTAACGCGAACAAGTCTGGTCCGTTTTCCTGTCTGGATGAAACCATCACTCTTCACCGACATGAATGAAGGCTTTGTGGGACTGACAGATCTGCTGAACAGCTACATAAAGGCTATCCACACCCAGAACACACAGCTTTTTAGAGGCTCTCATCAAGTAAGTTGTAAAAAGGTAGAAAAAAATTGTTGTAGTCTAAAGAGACTACTGACTACTTCCTTGTTCCTAGGACTAAAAACCAAACAGGCAATTTCATGGTCCCCAAATCTCTCCCTTCAGAATGTGCCTAAATATGTGTTAAGAAATGTCCTTGGCAGGCAACAATGATATTCACTAGACACTATGTTGGAAATGAACTTCATAGCTTGGGGAGGGGAAAATGTGGGAGAAAATAAGAGGGGGTGGTAAACACTGTTTAAAAAAGAAATGTACTCATTACTTTATTTATGTAACTGTAACCTCTCTGTACTTCACCCTTAAAATAAAATTAAAAAAACACACACTAGGAAAAAAATATCCTTGGCTGGTTTGAAAAAGAGGTCATCAAGTGAGTTCCTATGTAGACATAAGAAGCAGTAGTTATTCTTGTACATTTTTAAGAGGTTGAAGATGGTCAAGAAAAGTAGATGAATACATTCCTGGATCTTCAAAAAAAAAAAGGATAAAGTGATCATAATTTAAAACTTTCTTTTCTAGTGTTTCTCCTCATATGGCTCCATCTCTGCATTCCAAATCAAAAGTACTAACACTAACATATGCTAAGGTATTGTCTCCTAGGCTTCCATTTGTTCTTTGTATACAGTGCCAAGGCTCCCCCAAACCACTTTTCTTTGAGAAAACATAGCCCATTGTACACCTGTATCCACCATATGCTGGAAGTTATATCTCCCTGCATGCTTCTTGCACATGCAATTACCTAGTATTTACCACCGCTGAGTTTACAGAATCCTGCATGAGAAAAACAATGTCTGAGGCAAAGGTGTTTAGAGGAAAAGGTCAGGTAAAGATGTCCCATTCAAATCAGGGCAAACAGCCTACAGAGAAAAGACCTTCCTTTCTCTCTATGCCTAGTCACATAGCCAACAAGCCCTTGGATAAGATAGCAGGTTATACCATGGGTATTGTCCCTAAAGACTCAGGGACTGTATTTGACCCAGCTCTGCACTGCTAGTTGGAAGCTGTATGGAGTGTACTCAGCTTACATAGATGAAGGTTTTGTGCAAGTTCTTTCTACCCAGCAAGGCAAGGGGTAGTGTGGTCCCAAACTCTAAAGAACAGTTTAGAAAGCTACCCAAGCAGATTCTTTCCTTTTCCATAAGCATCTTCTGGAAAGTTAGGAAGCTTACCAAGTTTTCTGCTGCTTTCACAACAAAGCACTAACAGGGCTAGAAAAAGGAGTGCCTATGTCCACAGGAAACATATTGAATGTGGATACTAAATTTCAAGTACACAAGTTTCTGAGAACTTGAATTCACTATTATAATAGAAACTTAACAGATAACACTATTTCCCCAAAGGCTAATGTCAGTATCGTTTTCAGACTGAAGAAAAACATTTTTAAACATTCTACATCACTGCTACTCAAACACCTTGTAAGCTCTCATTCTCTTGAAGGACTGTTGTCATAAGAACTCCTAAAAACAACCTTTAATTCTAGAAACCATAGATTGTGCTCCATTGTAATATTGATGGAAAAAAAGAACATGTTGGGCTGGGAAGGTGGCTCAGTGGTAGAGTGCTAGCCTTGAGCTGAAGAGCTGAGGGACAGTGCCCAGGCCCAGAGTTCAGGCCCCACAACCAGACCCCCCCAAAAAAGGCCCCACAACCGGACCCCCCCAAAAAAAGAACACGTTGATTAAATCCAGAGTCATTATATGATGATTCTTTATGTGTCAGGTGATCACATTTATATCTGCTCTCCTATTTTTGCATGGATAGGTTTTTTTTTTTTGTTTTTTTGTTAGTTGTGGGGCTTGAACTCTGGGCCTAGATGCTGTCCTTCAGCTCAAGACTCAAGGCTAGCACTTTACCACTTGAGCCACAGTGCCATTTCCTGGATGGTAACTAGTATAGTCTGAGACAAGCAAAAAGTTCAGATAAGTTGATGTTAGGTGAAATGAACCCCAAGGTAAGTATTCAAATGTTTTTGCTTTCATGCAATTTTTTCTAACACATTTATTTATTTATTTTGGGGGGGGGTCTGGTTGTGGGGCCTGAACTCTGGACCTGGGCGCTGTCCCTCAGCTCTTCAGCTCAAGGCTAGCGCTCTACCACTTGAGCCACAGTGCCACTTTTGGCTTTTTTCTCTTTGCTTATGTGGCGCTGAGGAATCGAACCCAGGGCCTCGAGCATGCAAGGCAAGTGCTCTACCACTGAGCCACCTTCCCAGCCCCTAACATATTTATAAGATGATTTCTTTGTTGCTTTGTATGTCCCTCCCCCACTGTATAACCCTTGCTTTCACTGTATTTGATGTTGTTATAATTTGTGGAGGGGAAGGGCAAAAACAAATTGTTTAAATAGGGATACAGGTGGACCCATTGCAACAATGAGATGTACAAATCGTTATGTCGAAAAACGAACTTTACACCTTTGGCGGGAGGTGGGGGGGTGGAGGGATGGGGGAGTGGTAGGGAGGGATGGGGTGGGGAAGATGGGAAGGGATGGGAAGGGGAAACAAAGGAGGAGGCAACAATGCTTGATAAGAAATGCACTCATTATCTTGCCCATGTAATTGTAACCCCTCTGTACAGTATTTTCACACACACAAAAAAAAGAGACAGGTTAGTCTCCTGTTTTGCTTCACCTACTGACACCATAGAAGTGAATCTGTTGGGGAGCTGAAGTTTGCTATGAACACCCACTAAATGTGTTATCTAACTAAATTGAATATATCACCCTATGAATTCAAACTTCAACCCTTAAAGAGTATATAGAAACAAAAGACAAGGTTTCAAAGCTGGAATGGAACCGGATTCTAAAAGCACTGCATTTAGGAGTAAAGGACCCTAGGGAAGGGTTGGAGGGTGGGCAAGGACATTGTAAAGCTGTAATCTTCAGAATAGTATTATAGACTGCAGTAGGCAATTTCCTTGGTCCCTTTAAGTTTTTCTAAGAAAATTATCAATGGCATCAACCAACAACATAAATTTTAGCTTGATAATTTGCATTTTTAGAGTTGTTACCTTTATGCTCACGAAGGCCGAATCCATGGAATAGCCCCTTCTGGTAACTTCCAAGGTCAACATACCCACATTTTCACAGACTTCATATTCAGACTGTGACCATTCAATATGAGACCACTTCAACTCCAAACTGCATGAAAAGAAAAAAATCTTAAAAAAAAATTAAATATGTGGAACTCTAGTAAATGCCTGTTGGGATTCTCGGCTGGCTGGGTAGGAGACTGAGCCAGTGCTTCCTGTCATCATGACCAAGATGGCTGATAAACTTACACCAGGGGCTGGGAAGGTGGCTCAGTGGTAGAGCGCTTGCCTTGCATGCATGAGGCCCTGGGTTCGATTCCTCAGTGCCACATAAGCAAAGAGAAAAAAGCCGGAAGTGGCGCTGTGGCTCAAGTGGTAGAGCCCTAGCCTTGAGCTGAAGAGCTGAGGGACAGCGCCCAGGCCCAGAGTTCAGGCCCCACAACCAGACCCCCCCCCCCAACAAAGAAAAACTTACACCATGTTTGGGTAACACTTAGTCATAATCATATCATTGGATCCTTTAATGACCCTAGGAGGTAGATAGAGCAAGTACCAGAATTGTGTTTTACAAATGAAGAAACTAAGGTGAAAAACCTAAGCAGTATCACACAGCAATAACAAAGGGAAGGGCCCAGCAGCTGTAAAGCTCAAGGTATTACACACTGTAGAAAGCGTATCTTCTGGGCTTCCTCATTGATACCACAAGATCTGTTCCAGACACAGATCTTTTGTGAACTTGGGTTCCATTTAGTAGCATATGCCTAAAAATTAAAGTGTGTGCATGCTTAATAACTGCTGGTTCTTTCTTTGAGCCTATAATAGAAACGATTGGTATCACTTAAAGGCAACTACAGTCACTCCTCAGATCTCATGGAAGATTGGGTCCAGTACCCATTGTTGATACTGAAGACAGTAGATGCTCAAGACCCCTATACAAAATGATGTGCTATTAGCATCAAACCTCTACACGTCCTCCTGTAGTCTCTAAACCACATGTAGATTACATAGACCATCTAATACAGTGTGTAAATATTATGTAAATAGTTGATATACTATCTTATTTAGGGAACATAACACATAAAAGCAGTCTGTTCTGCTTAGTACAGACAAAAATTTTTATCAATAGTTTTGGTTTGCTCTTGGCTGGATCTGTAAAACATTTAGGATATGGGAGGGGGCTGTAGTCAATTGGAAAGCCTTATAAATATTTCTACAATATTTTCAGTGAGTCTAACGTTGGAAGGAAATTTTCTTTTCTCACTTTTTTTTTCAAAAAAGAAGAGAAAACCAAGCCTCAGAAGTGTTAAATAACAAGTTCCAAGTCAAAAGGTACTAGTAGTATATAGCAGAGATGATATTCAAGCATAAATTTGATATAAAATTTTCTTGTCCTCCTCTCTTACTCTGCTTCCCAACTAAAATTTCTCCTGATTTGTGCTTGAGCCCAAGCAGAGAAATACAATTCTACCTTCATCCTGAAACTTAGTGAGGTGGAATGAAATGTTTCACTACCAAGTTCCTCTATAACTTTTTTTAACCCTGATTAAGCTTACAAAATATAACAATATTAAAAATACAGGCAAGCCTTCCCAGTGAGAGTCAGACACATTCCCATTGTTTTCATTTTATTCTTTTCCCTTTTTATTCCAGAGCAACAAAACCTTTAGTAGTTATTGCCTTCTTTTACATCCCAAACCTCTAGCCACATTCAGAGTTTCCTCTCAGTTTTAAAATTTACTTTTTACCAGTTGTTCTTCAGAACTAGAAAATGTGAGAGCCTCCAGTATAGAATACGAGTTCCCACATTTTCCAGGCTCTCTGAGGAGCCATTCAAATTAGAGAGCAAGTTTATTCTCAAATAACTACTTTGGGTCTTTACATGGATTGTGTGTCCCAATTCCACCCTATACATTAAATTTAATAGTAAGATAAACCCAGTCACCCTGGTTTATACCTAAGGATTATGGTACACTGGGTAAGGGTCAAGGATAACATCAGAGCATGGAATTACTACATTGATTCATGACAAGATATAACATGTCTGTCTATAGGTATTTAAACATAATACATGTTTATTCAATCAATAGACATAAAACACTGTTACTGCATGCTGGACTTTATAATAACTTTTGAAATGAAAAGAGAATCCTTGTATGAAAAACATCAGGAGCTTCATGGATATTTAAATTCATCATGAAACAGATCAAGAAACATAGAAATAAACAACTATGCTTAAGGAATTATGAGGTGATATGCAGCAAGTATATCCTACTTGCCAATAGAAACAGCATGTTGTAGAGGGTCTCCAAAGCATCCCAGTAAACAGAAAAGAAGCAAACATCAGCAAGAGGGATTAGGGGAGAAGACAGGTGCGAAGGAAGAGGTGGCAGCAGAAAAGAGGACAATAGATGAATCAGGATGGATTTCAGTTAACGCTTATAAGGATCAAATGAGTTTCAATGTCTAAATCACCTGTGAGTCCTCCTATTGCTGATGCTAACCATAACAAACATAGACCCATCAACACCTCTCGACAGATCCAAATGGCCTCAAGGTCTAAAATGAAATACAATCAGATAGCTGATCTAGATCCAGAAGGGAACTGATTCAGGGGAGAGGGCTATTCAGCTGCTACACACAGAGTCTCAGTATTTGGGACTGTGCATGCATCTCCCCGTGCAGTGTCAGAATGCTGCAGAATGCTTATAGCTGAAGGTTGCTTTACACAACGTCCCATTTGATTTTCTTAAAACTACTCACTACACATAATAAAGATCTAATGAAAAGCCATGAAATGTAAGCCAGAATATATGTTTTACAGAGAAATATTTAAATAGAAAAGGCCTTCTATAGTGACGGGATGGGTGTAACATATGTTTTGAATATGTGTGTATGTGTATGTGCATTATTGTTGTTGTTTTTCTCCAGCACTGCATTTGAGAAGATATTTCTGGGCTGTGATTGCTTAAACTATATAGACTTATAGAAGAAAAGCTGTGGTCAGTCACTTTGGAATTCTCTCTACAAAATTATATTTACCATCAGGTAAGTATCTAGATGCCAGAGAACAATCTGGAAAGTTCTGGATGTGTAAGTGTAATGGGTGTAATGGGATAAGAATTGGTTCATGTCTTCATGTTTTGACAATCCCTCATTTTTTTCTTATTACCATTGAAGAATGCTATATAATATTTTGTATTAGTATTGAGTAATGGTACTGTCAGAAATAAAGGATACCAACACACTATATGTGAAATTCATATGGTAATCATTTCAGGTCATTTAGCCAAAGATGGAAATTTCCAAAACCATTAGGTCAGGGTTTCTCCAGCTCAGCACTGCTGACATTTTGGACCAGATAATTAGAATGGGAGGTCACAAAGCTGTTTTGCAGCCACTCTGAACACCACAAATCAGATGTAGTAGCATATTTTCCTTTAGTTGCAACCATCAAAATTGTCTCTTGACTTGCCAAATGTCCACTAGGAGTAAAGTCACTTCCAGTAGACAATTGCCTCCATAAATTATTTTGTGGGACTTGTAACAATAGAAAAGCTGATTGTGAGTGAAGGCTTAATTTTGGTTCCCAGTAACCACTTTGAGGAATGGAAAACATTAAAACTGAATAAGAGACCACGAGGCTTCTATTCCCTCTGCCATCCACTCATTCTAAGCATTAGACTGTTTAGAAACCCAACTCAACCATGCAAGTGCTTTACAAAAGCACAGTGCCCTGACCAACACATTCATTCCTCAAAGCATTTATCATGTATAGCACAGTATTTAGTTTACTCAGAAACATTGCCTACTCCAGGGAAATACTGTCTTTGGTTCACTAATGCATTCTCCTTTAGAGAGTCTATAGGATATATTAAGTGTTCAACAAATGATTGTCCATTGAATAAATGGCTCTTATTTGGTCCACTGTTACCTAAGCTAAATTGATCACCAAAATGCCCCCCCATTAATGTAATTTTTCATCTACATTGACAAGATGTTGGACGATCCTTGTTTGTTCTTTTTAACCCTGACTTACTCTGTATTCTCCACTATTTTACTTCACAAGAGACAAAGATAACATTGATCAAAGAGCATTTAATTGTAAATCATCCCTTTTTTTAAACACAACAGTGTGCTATTTTCTCAGGCATGTGTGCAGTTCTCAACTTTGGCATTCTCTGGGGACAGCTTGACAATTGTCACAGCGGGCTGGAGGGTGGCACCCACATTCAGTGTATGGAGGCCCGGGAGCTGCCCACCATCCCCAACACCCTGCTATGCAGAAGACACTGCCCCTTGACATTTTTCCCAAAGTGCTTGGAGTGCTATGGTTGCCAGCCTCTGTGCTAGAGTTAAAATAAAATTTGTAAAAAAAACAAAAAACAAAAACCCTCTGCTCTCTATTTCTTTTAGTTATTTTGTTACTACTTGGTTCATTTATATGAAGGAACAATGAGCTAAAAGGAACACTTGGGGTTAAAAGGCCAATTTGGGATTCAGGACATTAATCTAGGTTAATAAGAGTCTGAAAAAGGTGCTTGGCTGCAGTTTCCTCATTTCTCCAAGTGTAATGATAATGAGTCCAGACTTCAAAGGGGTCAATAAACCTGTGCCTTAATGATTTGGGGCTTCCCAGTAAAAGGTTTTATAGAAGTTGAAAAGGTGATTCAATTATTATTTTTATACTGAAATATCTGTTTATAATCAAGTAGTATCTGCCTTCAGAAAACTGAAATGCTAAAAAAATATTGTTCCAAGTGTTCAGTCTCGGATTTGTCAATTCAAAGATGTGCAATTAAGTGCCACGCGCTAAGTCTTTGAACACCTGTTCTCCGTTTTTCATTTTTCTTCTGATAATGGGAAAACAGTGGTGAGCTAAGAGGCAGCTTAGCAAGGACAAAAAAAAAAGGAGCTTTGGAGTCAAACACACCTTGCAGCCCCTGATTACTGAGCAAAATACGGTCAGTGCTGTGGTCTCTCTGAGCCTCAGTTTTCATTATCTTAAAGTGAAGAGAATTACACTCATGTCAAATGATGAAAATTAAAATTAGGTAATGTAGATAAAGCACCTGTACACAGTGGGTACTTAATAAGCGTCATTTTCTTTCTCTTCCTCTGTGCTTTCCTCAGATCTAGACTAAGTAAACACACTGGCTGCTGGCTTGCAGGTAGCATGCAAGCCTTCGGGAGCCAAAGCTTTCAACCTCTTCCCCTACAACGTGTTTCATAAAAGCTGCGAGAACCTCACAAAGCTCCCCAGTAGAAAAAAATCCCCCCACCTCTTTTTTTTACATTTCTTCTGTCTCTTCTCTTTTCAGGGCCAAGCATGATTAATAGAATGTCTCAGCTGAGATCACCAAAAGGAAGACAAGAAAAAGAGTGCTTGAAGAGTTATCAAAACCATCTGCAGAGATCAACTTTTCTTTTATGTTGTCTTTTTCTCCAGTGCGTACAAGAAAGAAGACCACATAGAAGATGTATTGGGAAAACTGACTGATCAAAGTTGGCTACATTCTGTGGTCTGCAGAAGTTTTAGTGTCATAAAACATGCACTGCTGATTCATGCCTCTAATCTCAGCTACTCAGGAGGCTGAGATCTGAGGATTGTGATTCGAAGCCAGCCCAAGGAGGAAAGTCCACGGAACTCCTATTAACTAGCAAACTCTAATTAACCAGAAAAAAGCTGGAAGTGGAACTGTGGCTCCAGTGGTAGAGTGCTAGCCTAGCACTCAGGAATGACATCCAGGCTCTTAGTTCAAACCCCAGGACTGACCAAAAATGTCTTCCAAATATATTTTTTAAACTATGCTGCTTAGGGAGAGAAGAGGAAAGGTGGCTCTTTAGTTCAGTTGGAGCAAGATATGCTGGGTAATGATCCCCTCTCGGATATTCAGTGAGTATAAATATCTCAACAATTTTGGGACATGTTACAGCCAAGTGACACCAACTATCCAGTGGGAAATGACTCGAGTTTCACTTCAACCAATATTCACCAACATTTTGTCAAATGGAATATCTATTGATCCTTCAGGACAGATACTGCATAGAAATGCTGCAATAGCAAAACACAGCATTTAGCTTTTTAAAATTAACAATTATATTGATTGTTCACTTTGTGAATCATCACAGAATTGATGAGCTTTTGAATCCCTCAAATGTTTCCTGAATATGTCTTTAAATAGCCCATTGCACGAACATGAATAATCACAGTGTTTAACAATAGCAACCACCGGCCAAAAGTCTTCCTTGTCAGACTTGAAATACATAGGATGCATTCATATGTTTTATCTCATTTGTTTTTCCAATTGCCCCCATTTTACAGATGAGGTAACTTAAGTCTTGAACCATTACTTAAGTGAATGGTAAAGCTAAGGCTTGAACCCAGTCCTTCAACTCCAAGTTCAAAAGCTCATTACTTACCACACTATATGGAGACTGTAGTATTGGTCACTGTGTGTGTGTGTGTGTGTGTGTGTGTGTGTGTGTGTGTGTGTGTGTGT